TATACACTCTTCTTGTTGTCGAAGGTCTTTTTTTTGGTGTAGAAGGATCAGAATTTGGTTTTTGTTGCCGATATTCAGAGAATATATGACCAGTTTTTCCACACTTGAAACAGACAGGTCCTTTAAGATGACAATCTTTAGCATAATGATCATGTCCGCACTTGAAACACTTGAGCTGATTATTTATACGGTTATTAAAATTTCCTGTAGAAAATTGAATGGGTTGGGATCTCCAGTGGGGGCGGTTGTAAGGTTTTTCTTCATTTTGTCTCATTTTATTATGCTGGGGTCCAAAAGATTTTGGTTTACTATTTTAATGGCTTTCAAAATCTTCCAAAAATCTGCATTTATGAATAAGCGTAGGAAAATAAAAAAATTCTAGTATTCCTACCGCTTTTCTCAATTCGGGCCTAAGTCCATCATCAAATTTTATACACTTCATTCTTTCATCAGGGTGATAAAAGAATGCAGAGTATTTTCCTAGCTCTTCGAACTTAGAGGCATATTCTCCTACTGTCATACTTCCTTGCTTTAATTGCATAAACTTTATTTCTTTCGCTCTTCTCACATCATTGGGAAAATATTTTTCTAAAAATTTTGTTCTAAACACTTCCCAAGTAATGATTATTCTTCCTCCTTCTAGTAATCTCCTGGTACTATCCCACCAATATTCAGCCTCTTCTATCAACATAAACAAAACATAATTCACCTTTTGGTCATCAGGACAATTCATAACTTGAAATATTTTTTTCAATTCTTTAATCCATAATTCAGCTTTTTCTGGGTTATAACCTCCAGAAAATTGTGGAGGTTTGTTTCTCCTAAATTCAACTAAACCTTGTAATCCATTGGTTCCTTCAGGTCTTTGGTTCCTTAATAATGCAGCGGCCATGTCTCGGATAGCTTGTACCGCTTCTGTCAACTCGTTGTTCCTTCTATTATTTGCCATCTGGAATTATATAAGTTAGGATTCATAAGATATCAGGATATACTCATTTCACAGGTCACACATGAAATGTTACTCTGATACCATTTAATGTGACATTTTTTTTATTATTATTTGTATTAGAGCAGCAGGTCAAAAAAAATATTACATATATGTAAAAGTAATTTACATTACTATACAGATAAGATATACAAAAGAAGAATGAATTTTATTTTTGATTCCTTCTATTTTTTTTCCTACAATTTTACAAATATCTACTTGGAAAAAGGTAGGAGGCATACAAAAGGTAATCACTACTGGTCCATCTAACATAATGAAATTTCTCATCTCATATACAAATGTTATTAATGATAATCTTGTCCCTTTAAAAGTAACTGAGTTGTCTATAACGTTCGTGTTCCAAGTAGTTCCTGGGAAGAAGGCAGTGATGCTTGCAGAAAAGGGATTTGGAATATTTGGTGCCTCCATCTACTTAAGTTGGTGTTTAAATAAAACATGCACAAAAGATCACAATAGGGAGTGAGAACATTTATCATTTACAATAATACAATCTTATAATATATAGATATATATGTTTCAACTTCCTTAACACATTCTATTTTATGAAGATATAAATTAAATTTGTAGTGATTAGTCAAGATAAATGAGTCAAATTTTAATCACTCTCACAGTGATATTTACTCATTTAAATCTCCAAGGTTCAACCTCCATCTACAATATTATCAAATCTTCACAAATAGATATTATTATAATTGAATAATATAACTATAAATTAATAAATAGGATCGTTGTATTACTAGAGATAAAATAAAGTAAACAAACATGATCAGTACCTAACTAGAGATAATTAAAATATGACCAGTGCAAGATCGAAGATAAAATAAAATAAACAAACAGGACCGAGTACCTAACTAGAGATAATTAAAATAGGACAAGTGCAAGACTGTAGATAAAATAAAATAAACAAACAGGACCAGTACATAACTGAAGATGATTAAAATATGACCAGTGCAAGATTGGAGATAAAATAAAATAAACAAACAGGACCAGTACATAACTGGAGATAATTAAAATAGAACCAGTGCAAGACTGAAGATAAAATAAAATAAACAAACAGGACCAGTACATAACTGGAGATAATTAAAATAGGACAAGTGCAAGATTGGAGATAAAATAAACAAGCATAAGGCAAAATCATTACGTAGTTAGAGATAAATAACTAAATAAATAAAATGAGGTTAGGGACACCTCACTCCACAACTATAAGCAAAATAAAATAGATTTAATGATAATATTATCCTTCCCTACCTTAAGAACTACGGATGAGGTACCAAAATTTGACAGAGACGATTTTATCTTTCTTTTTCTTTTCTCTCCTTACTCTCCCTTTCTCTTTCTATTTCTCTCTCGTTCTTCCTCTTTCTCCCTTTTTCTTTCTATTTCTCTCTCCTACTTCCTACAGATCTCCCCCTTGTCCCTTTTTATAGCAAATTTTTATTTTTATTTTTATTTATTTAATTATGTAACCATAAATGCAGTAATTATGATTTTAATAAGATTTATCTTTTAAGATAAGATAATGTTTATCTTTTACATTAATTTGAGATGTTACAAAGAAAATATGTGAAGAGACTTAATAACTCTATTAGATCTCTTCACTTCAACTACCAGGGTGATAGGAGTGATCACCTCAACTGTCCTGTCACCTGAGCTCCATCTTTTTATGTAAGATCATTTTCTGTATTGTTATCTAACACTTTCTTTTCCTTCTCTATTAGTTTCTTTTCAACTTTAGCTTGTATCTCAAGTCTGTCATTATACACTATATTTTCATTAAATGTAACTTCTCTAATTCTAAGAACCTTATTTTGATCATCCTTAGAACAGTATCTCATATCACCTACTCCATAGTCAAATAAAAATGAACTTTCTTGTTTTCGAATCAAGTTTGTCCCTATCAATATTTCTAACATGAACATAAGATACATAACCAAATACTTTCAAATACTTACCCATTTGGTGGCTTATTACGAAGATGGTCATGTTACTGGGATGCTTCAATGGATTCGAGGTGTTTGGGCTAAAATTGCATACGTAGACAGAGATTTGATAACAGGAAGAGCTGAAGGGGAGATCAGTTACCATCATTGGTTGATGGAAAGAGTCAAGATGATCAAATTACCTTTTCAACCTATCCTTACCTATCCGATGAGCAGGGGGTTGTCAACATATACATAAGACAGGAGGCAGTTAAAGGCTAAGCTGAAAAAGATGAGAAAAAAAAAATGAAGAAATGGTTTAAAGAACTTGAAAAGATTCATCATGAAAATGTTGATCTTCAGAGAGAGAAAGCAAAGATGATAAAAGCATATGATAAAGTCCTTAAGGACCAAAATTCAAAGAAAAATTATATCATACGAATCAAACAAGATCTCGTTGCAGCCAACACAGAGTTAGCCATGAGAGTCCAAGAATGAGATCAGAGTTAGCCATGAGAGTCCAAGAACGAGATATGGCTCTGACCGCGGAACGCTGTTGGAAATGTCTATATGAAGAAATTAAAACAGACAAGAAAGAAGCTTTAAAAAGATTGTGTAATGCTCAAGTCAATATCAACAACATAGAAGAACAACAAACGAAATAAGTAGTCGCAACATATAAGCTACAAATCAACAAAGAACGTTGACAATTAATAAATTTATATGTCATTCCGTGGTGATCTTGGTTGCGACAATATTTATTTACGCTCGATAAATTGAAAAACTTTTTTTCTCATATCACATGAAAAAACGCTTGAAGTCTTTAATTATTTTTTATTTTATTTTGAAATTCATGTTTTAATATCATTTCATACAACTGAGTTCCATCTCATACCTAATTTATTTATAATGATTATATGTAATTATTTTATAATAATAATATTATTAAAATACATAATAATAATATTTTATTTTTTATTTTATTAGATATATTTTTTAAATTTTTATTTAATAAATTATAAATATATCTTAATTTTAATTTATATTTATTTTAATTACAAGAATGAGATGAATTGAGTTTGTAAAATCATTTTAAAATCTAATGGATTATTTTGAATATTTTTTTATAATAAAATTGAAAAAGAATTTGAAATGAGATAAGGTTTCAAGAACATTAAGATAAAGAAGAAAAAGATGAGAATATAATAATTTTATAGTAATTAATCTACTCCAGTTATTTAAATAAGTTTACATTTTCATTGAAATTTTTTAATATTCAGATTACAGCATAATGCATATGTCAAAAACAGATTATAACATAATGCAGATGTCAAATACAGATTATAACATAGTTATGTTTTTTAAATTTCTTAATTTTTATATATAAAAACAATAAGGTTAGAGATAATTCATATAAAATACCCAAGTTAAAATACATATGTTTAGTCTAACATTAAAGTCATTATTTTATAAATTTTATGTATTTTATTTTGTTATTTTATATTAGTATATTCAATTAATTAAGTAAATAGTTTATAGTTAATCATTTAGCTTCAACATAAAATGTAAATCACTAAATTAAAATATGTAAAAACGTATCCTATTATTTTATATCAATATTACTTTGAATATATTAATTTATCATTTTATATTTAAATTACTATATTTATTTAATTTATGAAATAACTATATATATATATATATATATATATATATATATATATATATAGGTTTAACATAAAATCCATATCTATTAAATTCAACTTTAAAATAATTTGAAAAACCTATATTTTATAATAATATATATGATTTTAATTATATTTTTTATTATATATATTATCTATATTAATAATTTAAGAAAATCACAGTAACCAAATCTATTAGAAGCTTATTATATTCAATATTAGTTTGTTTACATTTTTCTTCTTATCTTAAAAAGTAAAAGCCATATGAGAGTCTGTTTATATATACCCTGTAAATATGTAATAAAGATTGACATGGTTTATCTTTCTGTTGAAGCAAGGTATGAAAAAGAAAATATTCTTCTTAGCGTTACAGGCTTCCAAATATTCCAAATGAATTTATTCTCTACTTTATCAATTCTCTTCCCTCCCACCACAAGAGAAAGACCAGAAAAATTCCCTCTACCACACCCTCAATTCTTCAGTCTTGTTCATTCAATGACTGGTTCTAAGAAGCTCCAAGTTGGAACAGATGATGAAAGTCCACACAAATGGTGTGTTCCATTGGGAGAAGATGTTTTCAGAAGATTATTCGGCCATGGCAATCCAACAGTGCACAAGATTTTTGGTGATGCATCACTTTTCAGTCCAATGTTGTTCGGGAAGTTCTTTGATCCTTCTGATGCCTTCCCTCTTTGGGAGTTTGAGTCAGATATCTTGCTGTCTCATCTGAGAAGCTCCAACCAAAACACTGTGGATTGGTATCAAAAAGATGAAGCTTACATGTTAAAGGCAGAAATACCAGGTACCACAAAGTTATGCAATTTCACCCATCCTTTTTAAAATGTACAAATTATAAGAACAGAACAAATTTTATATCTTGGAGGAATTTATATGTTGTTGAAACTAGAGAAACTCCACCTTTTGCTATCAAAATTTTCTTTAGCTAGATCAAATATTTGAAAATGAGAATAACAGTTCACTTTTAAACATATGTATTTTTAGTCCAGTTTAATGTGAGTTCGTAGTTATAATGTTTCACATATGAAACAAACAAGGGCATGAGTTTCAAACCCCAAAACAAATACACATGTAAAATAAGTTTATTTTGATTTTGGTTTCTATAATTTTTTATTTTTTATCTCTAAAAATGGAAATAATTGTTTTGAATGGAGTTGTGAATGGGATGATTGAAAAGTGCTTGATTAGTAAAAAAGTAAGCATTTAACACTTGTGATTTTGTTAAAACAGCAACTGGGATGAGTAACATTGAAGTCCATGTTGACAATGGGAAGGTTGTGGAGATTAGTGGAGAGTGGAAGCCACAAAAAGAATCAAAGGCAAGTGATTGGAGGTGTGGCCATTGGTGGGAATATGGATATGTTCGAAGGTTAGAGGTTCCAGAAGATGCAGACTTGAAGATCATTGAAGCTCTCATACGTAATAACAGATTTTTGGAAGTACGAATACCAAAGTGTATTCATGGAAAGGATGTGGTTTCAAGCAGAGTAAACTTAAGAGAATAATCAGATAAAGCTAGCAGAGGCTGTAATAGTCTAGTAGCAACTTCCATGCAATATATATATATATATATATATATATATATATATATATATATATATATATATATATATATATATATATATATTCATTGAAATATTAAGATATATCTTTTCTCCTATACTTCTTCTCTCTTCTCTTCCGCTTTTAAATGCGCACTGGTGCCGTAAATGGTATCGAGTCGAAGAAAACATTTTCGCGCCGATATATCCGTTTGTTTGAAATAAGTATGCACCTGTGGTTGCGGTTTAGGCCGATCCTCCACATCAGAAAATTGTTTGCTTGTTTAAATCAAAGTATAAAGGCTGGAAAACTGGGTGCTTTAGTCTTCCCGATTGGGTTGCTTGATGCATAATAGGCCATCCCAGATCACAAAAGTCAGGTTCAATTCCTGATAATTTAGTGTGAATTAACAACGCCACGTACTTTGCTCATAATACTGATTATTCTTTCTGAATTACTATTTTCTGAAAACTTAACTTTTTCAATAGAAGAGAATTTTATTAATAGAACCTTGCCTAAGAGTCTTTGAGGGTAGATAAGCGTTGGTAAGCCGGTATAGGTTATAAGTCCAGAAAGTGGCAATAAATCCTGTGGTGTTCCCGTAAATCTTAGACCTTGGCCTTAGGATGGCGAAATTAATAAAACTCTTATCTAAAGGAAAAGAAAAGTTAGAAGAAAATAGAAATACAGAAGAAGAAACCAGTAATATGAATTTAGTACACCATGAACTAATAATCCCAGAAATAGAAAACCAACTGAATAAATGGACCCTTCCCAAATTAGAAATATCGAATATTTATAAAACCAACTGGAAAGATATGTTTAAATCAGAATATATAGTAAAAACAGTAGACAAAGAAATAGAATTATTATCAAGCCATGAAAAAATACCCTTAATAACTAAATCCTTAATAGCAGAACATATAAAAGAATATCGATATCTTCATATTGGATCAATCCAAATAGCAATAAAACCTCTATTTAGAAAAGGAATAGATACCCCTATGTTTGTTGCTTTAAGAGATAATAGACTAGTAAAACTTGAAAATCAAATATTAGCCATGTTCGAAACTAATTTGCATAATGGACCCGTATACATAAACAATTATCCAAACTATTCAATAGCCCTTAAAAGCCTGCATAATACAGAAAATAATATACTTTTAGACATAAAAATCCCTGAAAATGTATGGAACCCCAAATCAATACCCATAACCATAATATATAGAATATATTATAAAATAATGAAAACTCAATTAGCACCAGGAGCTCTATTAATGTCTCCTAAGGATGAAACAACTATGCTATTAGTAAATCCAGAAAAGGTTAACGCTGTAATTCCAAAAACATTAAAACATACTGAAATATCTAGTGGACTTAGCTGGAGATTAGAAGATTTACTAGAACCAGAACCCCCAGAACCAGTAGAAATTGAAAACATAACCGAATATAAATCAGGAACAATAGAAGTATCTTTTGCTCCAATACGAAGAATAAATTCACAAAGAGAATCAACAAGTAAAAATACTTTTGTAATAGCAAGAAGATCAATCGATCAATCTAGCCTAATACATCATAGAAGTCTAAAATTAAAAGGTATAAAAAATGACCCTACAATACCGATGCCAGAATACGAATATGAACATTCAGAACAACACAATTCTCCATCTGCTTCTGAAATACAACAAGATAATAGTATGATAAACGTAATTACAAAATTTGAGATAAATAAAGATTTACTAAGACAAGAATTTTTAGAACAAAATAACAAAGAAAAAAGAGAATGGTTCTTTAAAACGTTTTCTCAAAATGAATTAAAAGAATACCGAGAAAAATATTATGAGCACTTAAAGTTAATTCAAGAAAATATACCCTATTTTAAATGGTTTGAAGAAAATTGCTTAGAAAATCTACAAATTAATGTATTACAGAATGCTGAGAAAATATGGAAAACAAAAAATAAAGAAGTTATTAGTAAAATTCCTCCTTTAGAAGAAGTAAGATTTCCTAACATTGAAAATAAAGAAGTTACTGCATCACCTTTTAAAATGATAGGAGAAAAAAGAAATAGTAACGAGACCCCTAGTATAAACGATATTCAAAACATACACAGTCAATTAAATTTTACTAATCAAATATTACATCAAATAGCTCAAAAAACTATTGAAGAAGAAAGATTACCAAGTAATAAAAACCCATTAGGAATTACTGACTTACAAAAATCATTAATAAATCCTATAAGATTATCTCGATAAAGAATATAAAGAATTTAAAATAGGAAATCAATCAGATAGAATATTAGAAGAAATAAATATAAAATTAGAACAATTGAATGTAAGAAAATTAAATGTAATAGATATCCCTGAAGAAGAATTAGGAGATATAGAAAATATAGATTTCGAAATAAATAGAATAGGAAATAAATTTAATGTAAGTCCAACTACCCATAACATGCCAACTACTAGAAATTATTATAGAAGACCAACATTACCCGATATACAATTTGAAGAATGGAATTTAGAAAGCCCATCTGCATTTAATGGAACCGGAATAACTGAATGGAACATAGATGGAATGACCGATTATCAGTTACTAAGAAAAACAAACGAAATGGCTATGGCTGCGTCATCCTATAGGGCTAAAAATACTGAAGAACAAACTATACAATTATTAATTCTAGGATTCACAGGATCTTTAAAAGGATGGTGGGAAAATTATTTATCTGCAGATCAAAGAAGATTTATATTAACAGCAGTAAAACAAGAAGGAGATCATCAAATACCGCTAATGGTAGAAACTCTAATAATTTCAATAATACATAATTTTATGGGCGATTCTAATACTTTTGAAGAAAAAACAAGCACCCTACTACATAATCTAAGATGTCCCACTTTAGGAGATTTCAGATGGTATGTAGATAATTTTATAATTATGGTAATGACTAGAACAGATTGTAAAGAAACTTTTTGGAAAGAAAGATTCATTGCAGGATTACCCTCAGTATTTGCAATAAAAGTAAGAGAAAAATTAGTCCAAAAATACCCTGAACCATTACAAGATATAACCTATGGAAAAATAATTGCAACTATTAAAAATACTGCTTTAGAAATATGTAATAATTTAAAACTAGAAAAACAAGTTAAAAGACAGCAAGAAAGTGGTAATAAAGAATTAGGAGATTTTTGTATACAATATGGATACGAAAGATTAGATCCTCCGTCCAGAAAAAATAAGAAAAAACAAATAATTAAAAGAAAAATCTCCCAGAATAATAATAGGAATTCCCCTAGAAATTTTAAAAGAAAAATAAAACCAAGCCCCTTCGTAAATAATAATCAATCCAATCCTAAAAAAGGAATAGTCTGCTATAAATGTGGAAGATACGGACACATGAAAAAAGATTGTAGAGTAAAGGAACGAATACAAAATTTAGATATGAGTGAAGAAACTAAAAATCAAATAACAAAAATATTGTTATATGAGTCGAAGAAGATATTAATAATATAATAGAACCTAACAATGAGTGAAGAGGAATCTACTACCAATTTAAGTGAAAACGAGGAAGAAGAAAATTGTGATTGCATATTTAAAATAAATGTTCTAACTACCGAAACTAAAATAGCCCTAGAAATGGTAGATAAACTTTCAAATGAAGAAGATAAGTTAGAATATTTAACCAGATTAAAAACATTAATATTAAGTGAAAAAGAAACGTAAACAAGTACAAAATGAAGTAAGTGGTTACGATTTTTCTAAAATATTACGAAAAGCCATAAATACAGTAAAAACCTCGTAAAGATACAAGACTTACAAAAAGAAGTAAGCCTTTTAAAAGAAGAAATTAAAGAAATAAAACTCCAATTAGTAGAATTAAAAATAAAAAATGAAATACAAGAAGAAAAAATAAAAATTATAAATAATAAAGAACCCTTAAAAACCGAATCAACCTCCGAAACGGTTAATCAAATAAAAATTTTACAACAAAAATGGCATATAAAAGCAACATTAAAGATTGGAAATAGTTTTCATAAACAATTTACAGCTTTAGTAGATTCTGGAGCTGACATAAATTGTATAAGAGAAGGGTTAATACCTACAAAATTCTATGAAAAAACTCTACAAACCTTAAGGACAACTAACTCTGAAAGACTAAAAGTAAAATATAAATTATCGAACGTAAGTATATGTAATAAAGGCACTTGTTTTAAAAATACTTTTATATTAACTCCCGACATTAGCGAAGAAATGATATTAGGAACTCCATTTTTAGCACTAATTTACCCCTTTGAAGTGTCGAACAAGGAATAAGCCATAAAAATCTTTTATTCGAATTTATTAAACCAATAAAAAATAAAGAAATATTATTAGTAAATGATGTAAATGAAGAAAACTTTCTACTAAAAATAGAAGCTAAAACTACTCATATAAACTATTTAAAACAAGAAATAACATACAAAAGAATAGAAGAACAATTAAAAAACCCGAAGTAATAAAAAACTTTAAAAATATAGAACAAGAAATAATAAAAGAAGTCATGTGCAGAAGTTCCTACTGCTTTTTGGAATAGAAATACTTTCGAAATAGAATTACCATATGAAGAAGGATTTTCGAAAGAAATATTCCTACAAAAGCCAAACCAAGTACAATTAAACAAAGAAACCTTAGAATACTGCAGAAAAGAAATAAAATCTTTTTTAGATAAAAAACTTATTAGACCAAGTAAATCGCCTTGGAGTTGTGCTGCATTTTATGTGCAAAATGCTTCCGAAATAGAAAGAGGTGAACCAAGAATGGTAATAAACTATAAACCTCTAAATAAAGTATTAAAATGGATAAGATACCCTCTACCAAATAAAACCGAATTAATAAGCAGAATTTATAAAGCCACTATATTTTCTAAATTTGATATGAAAAGTGGATATTATCAAATCAAATTAAAAGAAGAAGATAAATATAAAACCGC